AATTTTTTCGTTTGCTTTTTTTGTTTTTTTTTTGCTTTTACTTTCTTGTTTTTACTTTTTTCTTGCTTCTCTTCTTTCCCCTCTCCTCTCTTACGTGGCTTAAGCAAACGCTAAAGGATCCATGCTACATAGCCCTTTCATCCACCCATCTCAACTCCCTCCCCGTGCCTCGTATCCCACACCCAAAAAATGTGCTCTTGCACAGCCACACCCTCCCACTTCTTGTGCCCCCCTACAATCCATCCCATCCCAAACCCTCTCGCACCTCGTCTATCCACGGCAAAAACCGGCAGCAGATTCATCCTATTTTCCACTCATCACCTTCCTGCCCCTTGCCCGTGCATGGCCTAGGTAACCGCCGACGGACCCACGCCACGTATCCACTCAATCCATCCAACCACTCCCTCCCTGCACTCGGAACCCTGCATACAGCTTCCCCCTTTCCCCTCCTCTCTCTTCCCCCACCACCATCCATCCTCGGCATCGCCGCCCGTTGCCGCAGTGGGGTAAGAACACCTGAAAAAATCGTTCGCGGATCGCGTATGACGCCGCAGAGCCTAATCGAGTTTCAGTAGCTGTGCCAAATCGGTGTATGAAAGGATGAGGAATTGAAAAGGAGCAATTGTCGGCTCATCACAAGAGAAGGATGATCGAATGGGTGAGAAGTGGCGCAAATTTTGCGTTTTGGGACAGATAGTTCTTGAGGAACATTCTCTTAAAATTCCAGTTCTCTAGCTTCTCAGGTTCCCGAGTTAGCAACTTACACGAAAAAACTTTGGCGGGTCATGCGTGGGTACCGCACACCCGAAAACTGGGTTTGGACTCATCAGTACCTACTTGGACGCTGAACATTCCCCTAAAATTTCAGCATTCTAGCTTTTCACGCTCCCGAGTTAACAACTTATCCAAAAAAGGTTTTGGCGGGCCCTTACGTGGGTACCACGCGGATAAAAGCGCCTATTTCGGAGACTGGGGCCCGTACACGCATGTAGATTAAGCTTCCCAAGTTTTAGCCCCGTAGATTTCGTGAGTTTCAAGATGAAAAATCAGCACAGACGCGCAGCGCATACACAGACACACAAACACACAGACACACACACACACACACATCGACAACCTCTCGTCATTGTGAGTTTCCTGCATTGCATAGCTGCAAAAACGCATAGAAACGCACTCGGATACACAGACGCATACGCAAACACACACACACACACACACACACACACACACGCATACACACACAATACGCGTATACACGCAAATACACACAGTGCACTTTATGCAGTTGTTGACCAAGTGCGTTTTGTGCAGCTGTTGCAAAGCACAAAACGCATAATTGGAGAAGTTCAGTTCTTGCACCAATTACAAGCATGGTTTTTTTGTGGATTTTTTACCGTGAAACCATACAGGTTGAAAATTCGGGGGATTTTATGCCAAAAAGAGAAATTATGTTGAATCCATTATTACTAACAAACATTTATTCATACAATCGCACTAAATTCAAATAATACATGTATAAAAAGCCGTAAAACAATTGACGAAATGGCACAAATCACCGATTAATCTCGATGCGACACATACAGCCCTCGGTGGTCTCGATTATTTGGCGGCAATTTGCCTGCTCACTGATCGTACAACAGTTCGATATACCTTTGGCCTATCCTTGTAGCAAAGGGCTTAATCAGCAGTAACGATATCAGTTCATTATTAAGACAAATCGGTAAGCCATCAAAAGCTAAACTTTCCTAATACAGGCATTAAAGTAAAATGAGCAATGCTTAAGATTAAAGCTGTTTCATTTTGAACGATTATAACGCGATGAAGGAATAAAAAGCGATTTTGTGCGACTCAAACCGTTAACAATTTGTATTTCATTCACTACAGCAATACTGTTCGTTTTGTTTCCACAAAGGCACAATTGACTCAGAAATGCTTTTCGATAATCGCGACTTCGCCAGAACAAGACGTAATAAGTATGCCCATAATTTATGACCACCAAGACTGACAGAAACGACGCTATTTTGCCCTAAAAAACACACACAATTAATTGCAGGCAGCAGAGTTGCTTGCTCGACTATGTGATTTTGCACGGTTTTGTGCACGAGCATGATCGTTTATGCTGCAAGCGCTCAGTGCTTAACAAATTGATATGTGGATTCATGTTA